ATATATATATATATATATATAGACATGGAGAAAAATTCACCCTTGCAAGTTGCAGCAGACCAGCGCCACATTTTCTTCACATCTCCGGCATCCTTGATGGAGATATGCTAGTCTCATGTATGAAGGCACAAGCGCAGAATCAATCAAGGCGTGAGACAAGAGATAATGAAAACAAGCAAGAAAATCACACAACAGAAATTGAGGAGAGACACAGCAGCTCTGAAAGCAACGGTGAAAGCAACGGTCAAATTATATTAGTAAAGCAATCTGTAATTTCCTTAACTGTATACTCAATTACAGCATTAGATTAGCTCTTATAAGTATATATATTGGTATATGCTTGTACAGAAAATAATATAGAACCAGTATTCTCCCAAAGTCTTTATTCCATTAAACTCTTCATCATGGCGCACTGCCAACCAAAAGCTTAAGCGGAAAAGTCAATGCAGTTCAGGGTTACAAGGAAATGAAAGCACTTCTTTTTTCCTTTAACAAGGCACATCCTTTTGTCCTTTGAGAAAGCATTTTCCTGGGTCCAAATTATTAACCCGCAAATGGCGAAACCAAAAATATATATTTTTTAAGAGGGATAAAAGAAAAATATCGACTTAAAAATAGTGTGTTAGCGGCATAGTTTGACCGTGTTAGGTTGCCACTGCAACTATAGGTTTTTGTCCTTTAAGATTTTAAAAAATATATTAAATATATTAAATATTTATATAATTAACATTTTATATTTTTTTGGTACTAACTCTCAATATCTGTAAGTTATATTAAATTTCAACTAATTCGAAATCAAATCACTTCGGACTTCACAAAGAATAAAGCTCTTCAAGTATCTATATATTTCTCTATTCACAAAATTCAAATTTTAAACTTTACTTAAATGTAACCAAATTCTTTCACTTAAACCAACAGATTATTAGTAATATTTTATATATCTTTAAAATAGGAAAAAAATGTAAAAACTAAAAATTAAATTATCAAAAAGCGTTTTCAAATGAAAAGTATGTATAAATTGAAAAGTCAATAAATTTTTTAAAAAATATATATTATAAACAAAATTTATTAGTAAATATTTTGTGAAAAGACAATGTTAAATATTTTTCATATGTCATATTATCTATATTTTCCTTAATTTTCTCTTCATCATTTAAAAATAATCTTTAATAATAAATAATAACTTAAATGATAACAAAACTATTTAGGATAAAATATAATAAAAATAAAATTTAAGGACCAAACTTCTTATTTTTCTAAAGCTTTGGGGGGTGGGGGCCTGGACCCCCTCAAACCCCACCGAGCCCCCTAGCTCAAAAATATGACCCAAATTAAAATAATCTAGATGTAATTGAGTTGGGTTAAAATTGGGTCCAATCAATCTTAAATAACTCCATTAAAATTTAAAATTAATAATTTTTAAAAATTTGAATTTAAATTAATTGTACTTTTAAATTTAGTTTTTAATATCAAATTAGATTTAAAATATAAAATAAATAATATTTATCAGATTATCAAAACCTAATTTCAAGACTTGAGATGAGATAATTTGATTTTATCCCCACTTATATATACTTTATATGTAATTCTTGAATTTTTCATTTAGCAATACGATAACAATGGATATACTTTCTAATTCAATATATTTTACAATATATTTATTCAAAAATTATTATTTTTAAATTTAAATTAAAAATAAAAAATTTTAAAATTATAGATTTTAATGATTAAATTGATGGTTGTTGACTAATATATTAAAGTAGAAGGTGTACTAATAATTTTTTTTATATTAACATAAATAAATATACAAACACTTGATTCGAATAATTTCTTAAATATAACTAAATCATATTGAACATATATTTATTTAAAAATAAAAAATGTATCCCATTAAAGTTGTTTACAAAATAATCCCATCATAATGATGGAGGCAACCTCAACGAAAGAAATTCTCGACATATTTGACTCCACACGGCAATACCAGCAAATATCTTTTACGTTTTATGGATCACATGAGGACTACAGGTATGTATGTAGGGGTGAACATTGGGTAGGGGCACACCCTTTACTTATAAGTAATTTATTTATTTGGGTAAATATTATCTTTAAGTTGTAAAAAAGTTTGATAAATAGTTGGCATAAAAAAATATACAGATAAATATAAGCTAAGTAATAAGTATAGTAGCTTAAAATTATTTAACTTTCAATCATCTAATTCAATGGTAAATTTACTTGTACACTTAGTTATGAGTTTAGGATTCAATTTCAAGCTTTTTATGTATTAAAAAAGTTTAAAATTGTTAATTCCAATGAGATGACTTAATGGTTAAAAACTTGAGATTCTAAGATGAAATCTTCAGTTTGAATCTTAAGTCGACTGGAAAGAGTTTCAAGAATAGGGGAGGGTTATCCCCTCTTATATAGTCCATAATCAGATATACCAAAAAAAAAATTTAAAATTGTTTATCTAACTTATTGATTGACTTATTATTTGAATTTATATAATTAAAAATTTTCTTGTATTTACATAAATTATACTTAATATTCTCACTGTATCAAAGTAATTATATATCACTTTTTTATTTTCTTTTTAAACTAAAAATTTAGGGGCAATTTGTGTGTTACTTATGAAGAAGCGAACAACAAAGCACAATGAACTAGTATGATAAGTTTATAGATCCATTTTTTCCTTAAATGTAAACTCGCCCACCATACAACTCCATGCAAACTTCTAATTGTCAATCGTTGTAACTTGTAAGCTATACCTCAACTTGCTAATGGGGGCAGTCAAATCATTGTAGCTAGATATTTCCTTATAATTAGCCCCTTCTTTCCGTTGGAAAAATGAAGCTTAACTAATGTTCTCAACTACCAGGCACCGAATCTAAAAACTCTCCTCTCAACATCTCAACATCTCATTAGAGCGGGCGGTAAGAGCCTAGAGAGAATCACTCTCAACAACAAAGTTCTCATAGCCAAGTCAGCAGCCATTGGAAAAGCCTAAATGGATTGCAAGGATCTGGCATACCATCAATCAAGGCCTAACGTATGTTCCAACCCCAATTACTACCTATGTATACGACGTTACTAAAAGCTTAAACTCAAATCAATTAGTAGTTAATCGTCTTGACACAAGTGAACCATTTACACTTTATCTTTATCTCTCCTAGATGTGAGATTGCAGTATCACATATGCAGTGGCAATGTGGAGAGAACCTCTTAGTGGAGAGACATATTGCTGAATATTGTGGTGAATTTAAGGCATGTGGTTAGCTTCAAGCTTCAAGCAACATATGCAAACATGATGAAGTGTAGATAAATAGTCGATTCATAATTAAGATTATATGATCGTGTTTGGCTTGAAGAATTCAAATTTCATAATCATAACATAAAAATAAAGCAAAGTTGAGAAACTTACTTGACAAATTTGAAATAAATAAAACTTATGATTGATCATATAATTTCTATTAAATTAAGAAATCAAGTAAAAAATATCTGTTACCATCTCTTCCCCTAAAAAATGAGTATTCTGTAGGTCTTTCCTAATCTAAAACAAAATTATCAACCTTAATGAGCCCAAAAGTATGTGTCTTATCTTATAAGCAAGGTCAATAATATGAGGGCATTTTTTAGGCAAAACCATACAATCTGCAGTTAGTACGCCGTAACAAGATACAATGCAGATTCTAACAACATAAGTCTAAGCTGTCCTTAAAAGGTCAAGTAATTAAGCTGCTGGATATTGGGTTTAAGGGTCCAACCTTTCAAAACCAAAGGCTGCCTAATGTATGAGAAGTTTATGGTCATCAAGAAAACACAAGGAAAATCTAGCTTTAGCTCTGCGCTTTGGGACCTTGGTACTATTTTTCTCTTCGAGAATTATGCTCACAACTCAGAATGTCATCCACATGAATTTGTACACTTCTAACACCTCACAACATATTAAACATATCCATATATCAACTAATACCAGAAAGCTATAGGACAGAAATTTCCTTTTCATTCTTTTTCAATTGGGGGAAATTTTATGGAAGAAAAAAGGGGGAAAACTAACCCTTGCAAGTTGTAGTAGACCAGGTCCACATTTTCCACAAATCTCCTGCATCCTTGATGGAGATATGCTAGTCCCTTGCCCACTACGAACCCAAAGCAAGCGCTTTGTTTCTGCAGAATATCCATTTAATTCAGCTCTGTAAACTTATAATTCCAAGTCAATTCAAGCAATCAAATCATTGCAGCTAGAAATTTCCTTTCAATCTATCTCAATCTTGTAGCGAAGCATTTTCCAAGAAAAGGAATTGCTTTAATTTCTTTATAACCCCCTTCTTACGTTGGAAAATGAAGCAGCAAATGTTTTAATTATAAACACCACTACACTGAAATTCCTAAATTAAGAACGGAATACAATTACACAGCCTAAAATACAGCAATCAAAAAACTCACAAAAAGAAAAACGCTATCTTAATTCTCGTGAAAACCCGATGAATACTTATCCCATTATACTTGTAATTAGAGCTTTACCAAATTAGAAGAAAAATGCATTGACTTCATCATAATCCCATGCTTCTGCAGGAAGAATCAGGCATTGTCTGAAAACCATGCATGAACGAAATCCAGAAAAGGTATTCGGTAAAAATTAGAGTTTTGCAGTTTAGCTAGAGAGGAAAAATACCGCACTTAAGCAAGACCCACTTCACTTCAAGTTACATGCACGGAAGCCACTTCTCGACCCTTTTCTGTTTTTTATACTGTAGAAAACAGGAGGGAGAAGAAGAAGTAAACGAAGCGGGAACGGGGAGTCCCGACTCCCTGTCCATGTCCCTGTCCCTGTTCCGGTCCTGTCCTGTAATTCTTTTGTTTGTCAGCCTAAAACATAAAACTTAGGTTTAAGTACCATTTTAGTCCCTCAACTTTACACTTTGGTATTAAAATTGTCCTTTATCTTTAAAAAGTACCAAAATTATCCTCGAACTTTCATTTTTGGTACCAAAACAGTCCTTCCGTCAGTTAAATGACAGGTGTCACGTTAATTTGCCAGTAAATCACTCAACTTTTTAAATGTTAATGACGTGTAAATCCAACCAAGAAAACTCCCATTTTTTTAATCAGTTAATACATTAAAAAAATAAAATTACTTAAATGCCCTCATCCTCATCCTCCAACCTTCCTTTCTTCTTTCTCCTGCATCTCCTCCAAGCTCCAAGCAAACCAGCAACTTCGAAAAATCTAGCAGCTCAAAAAAAAAAAAAAAAAAGCAAGGTAAACCCAGATTTCCTACTCATCCTTCTTCTTCCTTCTTCTTATTCTTTTGCTCTCTCTTCTCCCTTCTTCTTCCTCTCCAGATCTGGGTGGGTTCGAGAAAAACCCAGATCTGGGTTCGA